CACACACACACACACACACACACACACACACACACACAGACAAAGTGAGATATTTTATTATTTACTGTATATTTTTTGCGAAAGTGCACTTTTCCCATGAGAGGCCACCCACCCCTCAATCAGACAGCATTAAGCAATTAAAAAATTGCATGTCTCAAACATTTTTACAATTTTTTTAAATGTTATATTTTACTATTAATCCATTTACCAATTACTGAACAATTTTAGGGAGAAAAAAATGAATGAGCGCATTGCAGGACTGTTGACAATGTACTGTAAGTGCCCAGTTGGCTGCATGAGATAACAGAGCTTGCCATGCTTTGCCCACCACTGCCAGACACCCACACACACTCACAGACATTTTCTCAGCAGACAGCTTATTCCTAAAACGTTGTCCTGTGCCAATTGTGCAAAAGAGCAACATAAAAAGGTGAGAAAAAGACGTTTCCATTGGTGCGTCAAATCTATTGAACACACTAATGATATCATTTTAAGATGAGTTGTCTTCCGTCTCTCACAGCACTTCACCAGAATGTTCAGATTACTTCTTAAAAGAGATGAAAGCACAAAGTATGATAAAGTTGGATAAGATGGGGCACCCTCTCCATGGCTCAGAGGCAACATTCTCACATTTGTCAGGTGATCATGCTTGCTTGCAGGCCCTTTCTGTACTCCAAATGATTGCCTTCAAATTCTAGATATGTGGCAAATGATAAAGTTCTACAATTAGATAGGAGGACCTGGAAATGATTTGATATTTAATATTTAATTAGCAATAATGTATTTTCCACAGAAATATTGTTTCTGCTGATAAGCTTTTTTTGGACTGAAAAACCTAACAAATACATCAAGAAAAAAATTGGAGCACGGACGTCAGTAGCGAGTCTTTACAGATAAGCTAAAACTACATGTGCCGTATACAGAGTGAAGTATTTGACTTAAGTTATTACTGTGTTGTGTTTGTGCTTTTGCCCTGATGTTTTGTTTGGGTTGATAGTGACGTCAACCGAGCAGGACGGGATGTTTCAATGGGGGAGCGTGCGAGCGAAATATGACTGCTAGTTGACTGCGCCGCACGTATACTTACCGGTCCTTAATTTCAAAGCGCTCGTGCAGCCACCTGCGGAAGAAGTGTGGCTCGGGAGGAATTTCCTTGACATCCACACGCTCAAAGTGGATGTGGACCCTCGGACATTCTTTGCACAGGAATTCTGCACGGCAAAAAACAAAACAAAAAACAAACTAATAATGAGACTAAACAAAAACAGGAAGAGGCTTTCAGCAAAGCAGCACGTAAAGGGTGAGTCAGTTGCTCTTGCATGAAGTAGGGTTGTGCACCAAGTGGTGCCGCCAGCGGTAAAGAGAGAACAATCAAAATTGGATTAGTCTAACTGAAGAAGAGTTGTATTGAATCACACCTCCACTGAGGCACTCATCACCTGGGAAATCAAGGATGGAATGACAAAGAACCTTGGCTCTTCACAGCTTAAAAGAGGGGGAAAATTTCATCTAGATTTTAAGGTAGCATTTCTCACATAAAGGATTCACAAAGTGTTTCACACAGTTAAAATTCAATCCTGCATATATAAAATACAGAATTAATGCATGTTATGGCGGTCACTGTACTGCCCCTCATTCAAATCAGACATGAGAGATTTCCTAATACAAGAGATGGGAATATTATTTTTTTTCCAACAACAATCGAGGTGGATCTACATACAGATAAACAATGAGGCGAAAAAGAGTAAATCATTAACACAAAGCACCAGAAGTGACCAGAAAATTCGAACGCTCAAGGCTACACGTGATTCTCCTGAGAATTTAAACTTCCTGTTTCCACAACATCCAATCGTATCCGGAAAACTTGATGCAGCGGCCAAGAGGGGAAACCAAGTTGAAGTCACCAGCAGAAAGCCATTTTACTTCGAGCCTAACATGAAATATGGACCGTAAATAAACACTGGAGGGACAGTGAGAGTGAAAAAAAAATATCTTGGACTAGGACTTCCTTTCTTTTATGGGGAGGGGGGGGGGGGCATCATGCGTTTTTGAGTTGCTCTGGCTGCTGACTGCTTAACTTCAGAATAAAAGGCTACTAAGGGATTGATGTGCATACGCTATTACTTGTGAGGCTTTTATTTTGATATTGACATCGTGGTACATTGTGTTCTACGAGCAACCATTACGGTGGACGGGGTGACTTTGCTGGCTCTCATGCAAATGGCTGCTGCTCTTGTTGGCTTGCACTTCTGATACACATTCACAACATGATAAAAACAGCGCATATTTGACGTTTTAGTTTGACTTCCTAAAGCCTGCAGAGACTGAACGGGCTGGATGTGGCCACGGGCCTACTTTTCCCAGATGTGCTGTATGTCCTGAAGTTCATCCATTAGGTCGCTGGGTCGGGAAAGAAATGAACACCAAACAATAATCTCCGGTGCTCATCTGAACCAGTCCAATATTTTTGTGTGCACCCCACAGAATATAAGACCCCGGAATGCTACCATGGTCAGAAGGAGGAATAGTTCCGTCAAAATCTCTATTGATGCACATGCTTTGAAGAAAGACCTACAATAAATTGTTCGCAGGGATGACTGCCATTCACTTTGTCAACTGATTTTGCCAAGAAATGTTGCAGTGATCGTTTTTCGGCACAGACTATTAGAGCAGTCTTAAGCAGAGCGCGCTAAGCTGCTACTGCCAATTATTGATGCACAGGCACTCAGCACGCAGACTGGCTTATCGGTAGTCAGTCAACAGCTGGCGCTAGACTCTCATTCACCGACTCCCTTTTCACTGGCCACGCCAGGTGCAACTTTAACACCACACACACTCTAAGGTATTATAACATGAAATGTGAGCATGGGGACCTCAAGTGGACAACAATTTTGGTCGCCTCTTATGTGCACAATTGGTTGCTTAGTAATTACTTTAAACCATGTACACAATTAATCCATGGGATAGTCTGTAAAATAATCGATTCTAAAGATCTTTGATTGCTGCAAGCCTACATGAATCCAAACTCGTATTTTTCCAAGTACACGCACACAACATATGAACTTGACCCAAATAAAATTATTAACTGTGTTCTGAGACTGAGAACCTGAACGGACCAGTTATCAATCTATTTGAAATGGATATGATGGCATTAATTCATTACCATTATTTCAATTTGAACTATTTTTTGTTTTATATTATTAAATGAGCATGGGATTTATCTGTTGTAAATATCATTGTAATTACCATAGTTTTAAATTATAAAAATATTTGGAAGGAAAAAACAACTTTGTTTGTTCATCTTTGATTACACCTATTGTGTCTGAGTCACAAGCAGGCACGCACTCACTCACTCATTCAAAGTCAACTTCGTCCCATGACATCAGGAAGTGCGTGAGGAGAAAGAAGTTCTACCATCTTTGATCTTTTTGCTGCTGTTTATTCCCGACAGTGAGGGGATGTTTTTTCTAAACCCTGCCAGAGAACTCGCTGAATCACAGCGAATCGCAGTAATGAAAAAAATCCAAAACAGGGAGTCATGCTGTTTACAGGAAATCACCCAATGGCAGTAGGTTATTTTGCCTTTGTGATTAATTCCTGAGGGCCTTGTTTATAATGCCGAAATCGATCGTACAACAATATGTGCGACCGTGTAAACACTTGATTAACAAAGAATGCTTGGCAGCTGTTGTTCCCGACCATTTTAAAAGTGGCTGTGAAATTGAATGTGTATCGTACAATAATCAGTAGTTACAGGTACTCTTTGCGGTCTCTGGGAACAATTTTGAATAGCAATTGCGGCTGTAGACTATGTTGAAAAATGCCACTAATTAAACATGCAAGAGAGATCACAGTCATGTGTTGACTCCTGATCATTAAAGAGAAGAGACCAAGAATTTGCATTCCACAGCTACTTGAAAAATGACAATACGATTAGATCAAATGAGATAAAGTGATGATGAGAAGTAACATTAAAATACCTGGCATTGAAGGCGCTGGTTTTCTTTGGTGGTCAGTGCCAAGCGTTCCCTCGTAGGCCACTGTGATGTCATAGACGGCATCCAAGTGGGCCCTCATGGTCTCCAGGGCAATATGTGAAGCTTTCATTCGGGGCGTTAATGTGTGTTGCAGAACAGCCAGCCCTACAGAACAAAGACATTAATTCAACGGGGTTTGTTTTGCATCTCCTGGCAAGCTTCTCATCATTTTCACGCTGCTCATCAGCCATTATGCTTGCAGATACATGGATGTATTTGTGAATGCAATTGCTACTTTATTAAAGCGTGAGGCTCTTGTAAGACCAAGCCGGAACAAATGTTCCGTCTCTGGTTGTATGGTTTACATGACACCCTTCTGTGGCAGCTTCTAAAACGTAACTAAAAAACAGACTTAAGTCTCAAAAAAATGTTTTATGAGGTTCAAGAAATTTTCTGAACTTCAAATTACTAGACTTTGGGGGATCTTGCCTGCGATTATCCCACCAATGATGCCGAGTTTTCATGAGTGTGCTATTGTTGTTTTTCCTTCGCAAGTTTACACGATAACTTAATCAACGTTGTCGAAGGCGTAGGCTGATGAAGAAACCATTATATTTCATAATCATATTTTTTTCCCTTCTTTCAGGGTATTTTTCTAAATTTCTAATAACTGTCATGAATCTTGATGAGTGCGTTTTATGACAATTTGTTCAGGCTTAGGAGTTCTGCACTCTATCGAGCACAGTGACTCCAGAACAGAATAAGTCAATGAATAAGCAAATGCTTGGGGTGAGACATCACTTACTGTGGAGTACGTTCAGTGTGGAAGTGGCACGCTTATCTACTCACTAATACCACTAACATTCACTAACTGCAGATAATGTCATGCGCAAGTCAGCTCCTGTGAGTGAGTTGGATTAATGGGAGGCGGGGGGAGGGGGGTGTTACATTAAAGCTGGGGCTCAGAGATAGAGATACACTTTGTGTCTGCAGAGCAAGAGAGCATGACCTCAATGCCTCATCAAACATCAGATGAAATGCATTAAAGCAGAAAATCCAGGAAAGTTGAAAATGTTTGAAGTCACGCAATGTAAATCAATTTTATTCAACAACTTTTCACTTTATTAGATTTATTGTCACTGGTTATCCCCGTAAAGCCCGTCCGTATCTGACGAGGCGGCAGAGGTTTGCGAGCGTCTACGCACGCAGTGAATGCCTTTTCTCATCGGGGTTCGGTCAAGTTTGCAAAGATGTTCGCAAACACTTAACAGTCAGAAACACCATTTCTTTTTATTATTAGCATAAGACTAGTATAAGCTCCCTACATGTAAATTTTATGAATATTGAATGAAGGTTAATGGAACTATTACATTATTGGTACTCAATATTTTCCTCTTAATAGTTGGGCTTTATTTACTTTATCTTTAATCAATTTAACTGCTTCTTCTCATTTAAAATGGGTTTTACAAAATCAATAATTGCGAATACAGACCGATATGAAATACTGATAGTTATTTCGACCAGTTTATTTGACTTTTTTATAGTTGCGCTGACCTCTTTTTAAAGGTTAAATATTATATGTTAAAATAAAATTACTTAAAATCAGCCTCTTTTTCCTCCGGGTCTTCATTTTGAATACCAGTAGTTAAAAAAAAGAAAGTCAATAATTATCAATATCGATCAAGATAAAATATTTACTTTTTAGCCATGTTACCCAACCCTAGTTGTGATTTATTGTAGTTTATTCTTAAATTATTTAAAAAGCACAAATAAAAAGGCAATGTGTTTGGAGAGAGAGAGAAAGACAGAGAGGTTGGGGGGGGGGGGGCGCTTTCAATTGCTATCATTTCCGACTGGAAAAACGGTATCAGAATTCCAACAATTTGGAAGTCGACCAGCCAATGACAAATTGTGTTGAACCTTTAAGGTTCCACTGTAATTATTTGAGCATGCAACGATAACATCTTACACTTATATAATAAATGCTTACAGTATGTCAGTGGTCAAACAGTTACTTGCAACGATGACCAGAACTCCTAGTCAGCTGTTTACAGACTGTGTGTGTGTCATCAGCATGCAGCAGTGTAAGCGTCGGGGCTTGCTGTCAAGTCAGTACCTTCTTTAGTAGCAAAGGCCTGACTATCGGCGATTACATTCTTGAGCTCGGGATTATAGCGCGTTCCTTCCGGAAAAATGACGAGGTACATCTGTGGGAAGAGGACATGTTAAATTAAGCGCTTTAAGTTCTGACTCTGCGGGCGTCAAGGCGGTCAAGGAGAAAAACATAAAGCTGATCCATTACTATTGCAAGAGCTCTTAATGTCCATTATGGTCTCCAGGGCAATTTGTGTAGAATACACTACTGATGTACACGCATGCACACACGCGTGTACACGCACACACACACGCACACACACACCTAGCATATTTGTACCCTGGAAAAAAGCAATCACAACGCTCTACACAAAAACACTAAAATGAAAACCCCTTGGTCCCGGGGGACTTAAGAGGCAGTCATTGATCGGGATCCAGAAGCCTTTCCATACAAACGCTGATAGTTTAACCAGCACAAAATGGTTAATAGCTTTGGTTAAGTTTAATTCGTCCTTCCATTCCAGTGTGAAAATCAGCAATAAATTATGTGTGTGTGTGTGTGTGTGTGTGTGTGTGTATACATATACATACATATACATATATATAAATCAAGTCCAATAATGTACAAATATAGAAATACTGAAAAATTAAAACCTGCAAAATGTATAATTTTGGCCTGGGTCTTTTTTTCCCCCCTTAACTCCTCTGGAATCAGCTACGTTCTAAGTTAAACAGAGCAATTCTAGCCCTGAAATAAAATGCATACTGGTAATCAGTTTCGGTTCAGTTTTCATGTTTTCTTATCTACGTATTTATTTATTTTATAACTGTAGCCATTATTTTAGCAAGGTGACGATATCCTCAGAGGAGTGGGGGGGGGGGGGAGTAAAACTTCTGCCTATCCCTTATTCGTAATTTCATTATGTAACTCCCTTATTACTATAATCTATAAACAGGATGTCAATGGACTTATTCTATTACCAATTATCTTTATCTTACAAAATATAATTTAATTGCAAAATATATATTCATAAAAATGATTGTTTATGTTTTGCAGTTTACATACAACCTACATACAGGTACATACAAAAAGGCAAAAAATTAATAACTAAATACATAAATTCATCTATAAATACATAATCAGGAAACACTTCGAGAATGTCAAAGACCTAATTCCTGGATAAATTACAAACTATATCTTCTTTTCCAATTGGATTATGTTTGGACATAGTTTCAACCTTGTCCCCCCCATTTTCAATTTGTACAGTTGGCCTTTTCATTTTACATGCAGTGGAGGACAATAAATACTGTAATTAGCCCTTTGAATGCTATAGATAATGTCCCTGATGTTGACTTAAAGAAAATTTCTTGCATTGGACATCATTAACTTTTGAGGACCCCTGCTCCAGAACATTTACTGACAACAAATACAATACTAATTATGTCTCTACTTAATTGCAACGTTCCACGATGGAGGTTGTTTGACTGTATTTATATCGAGACTACTTAGTTTTGATGAATACAAGTCATTTCTTTAAGTTGGGGGCAGGACATGCACATCACATGAAAGTGGCAAGTAGAGTGTATTTGGGAATGTATCTCAAAATAGAACCCCATTTCAGTGTGTGAGTCATGGTATCAAGTGGACCCCTGGTTCCATAACTGTGTCTTTCTTCACAGCAGAGTGAAGCCAAACAATCGGCTACACATCGGCCCAGCAAAAAACAACAATGCGTTGACCATTTAGACTGACATCCCATTTCAGACACTATGATTGTCTTACTGGTGCTCCCAACTGATTCTGAGAGACAAGCTTCTTCTTCATAGCCTCTGCATTAAACTTGGCACTTCGTTTCACGTAGATCCCCCCATGCTGAGATGAAAAGAGCAACATTATGACAACAGAGTACAAACCTGACATTAAAGCACTTACAGAGGGGCATTACCTGAGAGAAATACCATCCGTAGAGTGGAAGCCACTTGAGTCCATCTTTAAGAACATATCTGACATGGCCAAGGGCACTCTGTCTGATCGCCAACATGTCAGCAATGATCCAGTCCACTGCAAGAGAGATGCAGAAAGACTTTATTCCCATTGTGTGCCACATTAGATTATGTTTAAGGCACATATACAGGTATGCACACATGGTTTACCTGTACATTGATGATTCGACAGATATATCACATTCTCTTTGGTTTTTGGTATATCTCCATATATGACGATCTAGAATGGAAAGAGATAGAGCAGGTTAGCATTTGTTTTGAAAAACAACCAGTGGGTGGTCACATTCGACATGGAGGAAAAAGCAGCATTCATTGATATCATGACCCATTTTGAAAGCTTGTTAAATTTAGAGTTTGACCAAAGTTTGGTGGTGGAAATAATGTGGCACAAAATGTGGGGGAAATGAACATATCCATCACCACAGGACATGAAAGCCAGCATCAGTGTCTTCTTCTTTTTTTTTTTTCGATGCTGACTTTTTTGTCTCAGAAGAGAATACTGGTGGGGAAGGGGGGGCAGGGGGGACAAGATGTACTGGAAGCTATTACGTGAGCGGACTGATTTTAAAGCAGAAAAAAATTACGCTGCAACAGGACTTTTGCCCAACATTTCTGTGCGTTTCAGTATCAAAATAGAGATGATCAACTTTAGCCACCTGGACAACTAAATATTTTGTATTGTTACCTTTTTTGTGTGTTTTTGTTCACAGGTTTGTTTTCCATCATTCTCACTGGCTTTTCAGGACTCCCAGATGGAGCCAGTTTTGATTTGCATATTGTACGTATTATGAGTATGCATTTGAGTGCATCTTTTTTTGCTGTTTGACAAAAAGGCACACCCAGTGATAAATGATATGACTGGTAAGCTGCCAGATACATTAGTTTTCACGTGACCAATAAGTAGTGCTGTGTGTGTGTGTGTGTGTGTGTGTGTGTGTGTGTGTGTGTGTGTGTGTGTGCGCGTGTGTGTGCGTGTGTGTGTGAGAGAGAGAGAGAGAGAGAGAGAGAGAGAGAGAGAGAGACAATACTGACTTTTTTTTTTTTTTTTTACTTGTGTGACATTAAAAAAATGTGCAAGATGCATACTGACATTTCTAACAGCTTCCTTATTAGTCATTAGAAAGTGAGTGTTTTTATTTTGAGTCCACCTGATTGGGCTGTTTTACAAGAACCGAGAATGTACAGTACATTGATACAATAACTTGTCTAACAGCTGACTGATTAGCTGCCAGATATTTGTCACATTAAATGGAACCAAAAGGTAGAGTGTTATACTTTGTTTTACATAAGTAGTTGAATTCAAATTTTGCTTGTGAGATAGTGCTTGAGATGTATAATCACCTTTCATAACAAAAACATTTAGACTGTAAAGTGTTTTACTTCTACAATTATGTTTGACGTGTGTCACTGATACAGGTTCCATCAAAAGGTGTGGCCCACAAAATAAAGGAATGGAAACTGGCATATCTGGTTCTGTTTGAAGACTTGACAGTCACAAGATATTTCAAAGCATGCAACATTCATCTTGACTTTTTTGCCCACAAGTGTCATTTCGAACAGGTTTACAGGAATAACAGGTGTTCAGGCATAACTCATACTCGCCTCCACTCCTGTGTAGTTCTCGAAGAAGAAGAGGACCATGCTCTGGTAGATGCAGTACAGCCTGTCGTCTAAAGTGTGGTACAGTCTGGCCGGCAAAAGCGTGGAAAGAAAACGCCAGGCCCCCCACGAGAGCAAGTAAACCGGTGCCGTGCCCAGCATGACGGTTGCCGGAAACCAGTACCGGAGCGAGTGCGTATGCACGACAAGGGATAGGAGCATGTTGCCACCTCACTGAACCAACACTCGCACACAAGTCTCGAACTGTTTCACTTACACTTACTTCTCTCACTCGCCTCTTGGCCTACTTATTAAAGCAAACTTGTCCACACCAATCGGCATTAAAAAGTAAATTAAGTGAGGAGCGGGCTAAAGCTAACTTTAACCTTGTGTACATGACTCACTTAGCCGAGCCGGCTTTAATTATTCATCCGTGCTGGCATACAAAAGCGAATAAATTATCTCAAGTTAAATGTTGTACGTTGCAGAGCTAAAACAACACCCCAAAGCACAAGTGGGTCTACTGTACAAGTTAGTCCTTATCGTTAGCCTACTCTACAAAGTGTGTAATAATAACACTAGTTTGAAAATAAAACCCTACATTAAAACATGTCATAGCGTAGGTATATAGGAAAGCGAGTCCGAATTTTAGCTAAGCGGTTACGAGGGGGGGGCAAAAAATGTACAAAAATAAGTTGTTTCCTCTCATCGGTTAGCTGTTAAAACCTAGCTTCTTCTGGCAGCAAATGTCATAGACATTACACACCGGCATACGTAACAAGGATGAATATGATTGGTCGAATTCCCTAATGGGCGTTTCTAATCTTAAAGAACCACACGAGTGAAAGTGACAGGAAAATAACAGTCTGTATCGACTTACTGTATTTTATTTTTTGTTGTAGCTGTGTATTTGAAAGATTCAACAATACAAAAATAAGGTCCAAATTGCATACGTTTCAGAATGTGATTGCAAAACAGTAATATTAGTTTTTATATTTTTCCTTTTGTGAGTGACCGAGCATCAATCTGGACAGTGCAAAATGCAATAGTGATGGGATTTTATACAACACTATATTTTGAGTTCATTACTAAAGTTGATCAATTATTCAATTGTTTAATAAAAAGAATAACTTATCTGTGCGATAAAATCGAATGATGCACCTATCTTAAAGGTGAGTGTTGTCCACTGCTATCAATTAAGTGAAACTAGCACAAAGTGAAAACAAAAATACACCTCTTAAGTGTTCAAGTGTTAAGTGTTCAAATGGTTCATGTCTCACATGGTGCATTGTATTATGCATACACAATATTATTCACATGTAGAGCAAACATATATGATCATGTCATGTCAAAGTGAAAGTCGAGGTTCATGAATTTATTATGAATGACTATCTTCACCTACATGTTGATTATATCACTTTGCTCATAATTCACTTTATGCCAAGCTCATTTTACAATCTGACAGGCTGCTATATTTCACAGTGTGGCATAATTATTCATTCATCATTCAGAGATTGCACGACTTTCAGACAGTTCTCTTTTTTTATCACAACAAAACAGACATTTTGATTAACTACTTTCATTTTCCCTGTGACAGTAAATAAGAAAACAGCACTATCTAATAGGAATATTTATTTACAATGACAGCGGAATCAGTAGGTCTGTTGACCCAACATGGATTTGGACCACAGAATCTGGGTCATTCAAAATTATGTAATTGAACAAAAACAAATAAACAAAAACAAAAACAACCCCCCCACACACACACACATCCCATCCTACCGCCCTGTACAACAGTTTTGGCCTGTGGCTCAAATTGTTTAAAAAAATAGATTTGATGTGAGAAAAGGTCACTGTAAAAAAATAGTGACATTAAAAAGAAGGACCATGTTTCAGAAACACGGTACGTATGTGGTGCAACTTACACAACACGAAGTTAAAATGTAATGAGACAGTCTACTGCAGTTGTTGATGCGTAACGACAGACAAAAAGGAATTTTATATTTCAGAGATTTTACCATATTAATGTAAACTGTGACGAGGCTGCAGGCCTTTTTTTAATGTTTACTGACTATTAAAATTCATGTCAATTGAAACAAAAATTTTAAACAAAACCAAATACGTTATCGAGAAATGCACAATGTCCACAATATAGCGCCACCACGCAAGAGGCTAATGCAGCCCCCTAATCATTATTGAAGAAACCATCTCTGCATAATCTAATAATGTGATTAAAACTGTGCAAGAAACGTATTTACAACATGCGTTTGTACACCACACTTTGATTTCACAGAGAAAGCATTTATATGCAACAGTAAGGGCAGCTGTTTTTAGAATGTTTTTTGGCAACAATGAAGTTATCAAGGTCACCCAATCCAAGAAAGGGATTTAAATGGGCTCAACAGTTAACTAATGTCAGTGTCTACCATTAAAAAAAAAGTAACACAAAAATACACTTCCTAGAATTACCCTAATAGGGGAAAAAATTGTCTATCTCAGGGAGGTGATGATCTGTCCTTAGATGATGCACTTGACCTCTCCTGGAGGGATAACTACTTGAGGAAATACAAGACATTCAGCTTCAGCACGTTTCCAAAGAAAGATGAGAGGCAGAAAGATGTGCGTGCAGCCGTTTTTATACCAAGTCATAATTATCATATGAAAGGTTCTTCAAATTAGTGATGCTGTCTGAAATGGAAGCACAGAAAAAAAAAACAACAACTATTACACCACAAATTCCCAAGTGGGATCATCAAGTCTAATTTGACTGAAGAGCCACAAAGAATGCATCTTACCAAGCACCCACTGCTCAGACAGGATCCTACTTCCCACTGGCCTCCTCCCGCTGTATCTCCCTATACAGATTCCAGCCTGACGTACAGAATTACACACCCTCCCCCCGCACAGCTGGATCAACTCTACCAAACTGGGAGCAGGCGGCTGGGAATGCTGGGACACAAACATGGGTGGCTGATCCTGGAACAGGTCCTGCTGGTAGTGGTCTCCGAAAGATAGATGCTTCTGAAGACGGCAGATCTAGGCACAGATAATCCAAGTTCCAAATATGAAATGACCTGTTTAATAATGAATCATAAAATAAAAAGTCTGGATGGACTGAAGCACATATTCACACTATTGGTGGAAAATATAAATTACTGACTTACGGCCAGAATGTTACTTGGTGTAACAAAGCAAGCTAGTTGTTTTTACTTGTAGCTTGAAGTAGGGGTTCCATTAAAAAAAGGGCAACTGTTCCATCAACTCTCATTTCTTTGTTGTGAAATGCAGGAAAAGGCTATTTTTTTCTCAGCAGCAAAACTTAAAACATTTAGTTAAATTGACCAAGTTAAAATGTTTGTTGCCTGGAAATTTGGAGTCCATCCAACATTTTTTACACTGTTATGCTAACAGGTTTATTTTTCAAAAATCGGCATCTTTTGGAGTAGCTAAAGTTCACCCCAGAGGCTCTCTCCCGCACATGCATGTGTGCACACACGGACTACAGCTGGAATGCAACTTCCAGTAAGTACCATAAAACACAGCTACTACAGTTTATCAATAAACATATAAATAAACCAAAAACAAACAAAAACCTATGTGCCAATAGTTTGTAGTTTGAGTTGAGAGTGGATAACAGACAATAAATTGAGAATTTATTTGAGAAGAGTGTTCCAGGGACTAGTGAATGAAGCTCTGAGCTCTCACCACAGGCTTGTTTGGTATCCAGCAGGGGTCACTTACTAAACTGAATGGGACATTCTGCCCGATTGCGAGTTGAATGCCAGGAAACAAGCGTTAAGGATTTTATCCCTTTGTAAATGTTCACACCGGTTTCATTTTACACCAAGTAATCAGGGATAGACCAGAGGAGTTCAGGGACAGGGTCAGGTTAACATGAACCCATATTGTGTACTTGCAAGGGAGCGACTCAACACAACCTATTGTGTGACTAAACGTGCTTGAAAAGGCATTCGAGCTCATAATAGGAAGACATGGAACATAATAAAACTTTGTTGTAACAAAACACACAAACACATCACCAGTGTTACCGTTAGAGCGAGAATAACATGTTTTGCGCAGAATGTTGGCACTTGGAAATAGCGTTTGTGTTGAAGTATTGAAAGCAGCAATGGTCCGCTGCTTGTGACTAAAGGTCATACTTTCAACACCTGCGAGTAAAAAAAAAAAAAAAAAAAAAAAAAAAAGACTACCGTACTGTATTGATGAAAACATTCATGAATTGCATTACATCTCTTCCAAAGGGAAACTGCCTGTTTTCAAGCTCCTGTGGTTGATGTCCTGTCAGTACTCTCATCTGCTCATTTAAAAAAGGCCGTTTTTGTGAATGCAATGTAATTTAGCAAATTTGTTTATGCATGGTACAATGGATTGTCAGATAAATAGCCTAGTACTCCAAGGGCTAAGGCAATCTTCCCTTCATTCATGCAGGCAACGTTGCCATGGAAAATAATTGGCTCACTGACCATGAATCGAACCTAAAAGCTTCCAGCTACAAGATGACCACTGGAACACTTTTGTAGAATGGGCTGCATATACAGCACATTTTTAGCTTACCATTAAAGTAAACTGACGGTTTGAATCAAACAATACATCTGTAAAACGACAAGCTCAGGCTGGTTTAAATTTTTTTTTTTTTTTTTTCAGCAATAGTACTGCCGGAGAACCAAGAGGCCCCTGTTTGATGTTCAGTGCATTTACATAAGACAGTAGGGAAAATCAAGACGAGCAAAAAAACATTGGAAACAAGATTTAAATACGAGTTAGTATTTGTTGGAGTGATTTAGAGTCACAGAGGTAGCCGCTGATGGGACAAGCCAAAGGTCGCAACCACAACAGCATGAACACCTGCAACGTCACCGTTTTGGGAGAATGACGACATACTCTTCCTCTGCTGTAATGTGCCTTCAATATTTTGCATTTCCCTTCACTGTAGAATATTACATCAGCTGACTTCCTGCAATTCTGTTTCACTCTATTTGTGAAGCTTACCGCTCCAAGAAAGAAATGTGGTTGAGTTGGACTTTGTTGTTTTTGGGGGCGGAAAAAAAGTGAAACTGAAATGTGAGAGATTAACGAAAATGGGCGACTTTTCAAATAAAGGGGCTTAAAGGGTGAATCTCCTGAAACAAAAGTATACTGAATGCGATTTGGGCACATTCTTGCCGTTTAGAACAACACATCCTCATGTGTTTTTCCTGCACTATGTCCCCCACGGAGATGTAAGCTCCCACAGGCAGACAACTTCACACAAGAAATGACACCATTAACAGTGCAACTGAGGTAAAATGAAGACTTTGTTTTTCTGAGGATTCACCTGGCAAAACGTAAACATTCATTTTCAAAAACACAATATAAGAAAAACATGCTGGTGACATGGATTTCTGAAAATATTTTCTTTCACATCAGCACATTCAGTAAATATCTGGTATCCGATCTTTAGACAGCTGTATTGTTTTATTAAATAATTTTTGTCAGAAAATTTGGCCCTGAAACAAAAATAATTCACTTGATATCCTCAGTATGACCTGTGATTGACTGTAAACTCGAGCATTATGTACACCACTTTTCAGCAGGAATCCACTTACACACTATCCTCATGAGACCAGAGCATTTTATTCGTATTATTATACTGTATCATGAAGGAATTAATTATTGCATGAAAATTAATTGGAAAATCAAAACAAGTCAACCAGAGTGAAAGAGCAGCACAATAATATGCTTTTAATAAGAAAAAAAAGCAATGTAAATCATATGGTGTTAAAAAAGTTTGGAAATAATTCAATTGAATGTAAAGAAATAAAACAGCCTTTGCCACATTTTTGCTCTGCGCCTTCTGTTGTGTACACCTTAGTCACCTGGGGGCAGGATAACACCCATTCATCCATTTTCTAATCCACTTATTCTCACTAGGGGCGTGCTGGAGCCTATACCAGCTGTCTTCGGCTACTAGGCGAGGTACACCGTGAACTGGTTGCCAGCCAATCGTGAACTGGTTGCCAGCCAATCGCAGGCACATATGGACAAATAACCATTTGCACCCACATTTACACCAAGGGACAATTTAGAGTGTTCCAGTTAGCCTGCCATGCATGATTTTGTAATGCGGGAGGAAATCGGAGTACCCGGAGAAAACCCACCCAGGCACGCGGAGAACATGCAAACTACACACAGGAAGGCCAGAGCTCGAACCAAACCCTGTACGTCTGCACTGTCAAGCCGCCCACAATAAAATAGATCAGGTCTCAGCCCCTCAATAAGCCACAGTAGTATTAATACATTTTCACAGAGGATAAAGAATATGTCTATGAGAACTGTTATATTATCAGTCTGCATGTGCTGTTCCACTGTTTGTATTCAGATATCCGTCGCTGAAAGGGTTATTAACGCAGCAACACCAATGCCATTCGGTTGGCTCGTCTCTGGCATTTCGCATTACGTGCTAGCATTAAGGCAAAGTTATGAGATTGTTTTAAACACACAATAATTCTCTTTGTTATATGCAGTATACAGTACAGTATATAGTTTGACGGTAAAGTTCAACTCGGAGTGGCATTAAACAGCTTGAAGACATTTTTTTTTTTCAAATGTCTTACCAAACTGCTGTTTGTTGTGAATTATGTTGAGGTCAGTGCCATCTAATACCGCTCGTATCTCCTGTTTTTTGGTTGCGACTTAAAGCAAATAAATTAGCCGAACGATGGCTTGAATCAAAAAAAAAAAAAAAAACTGCATCACTTGTACCTCAAGGCACAACTAGATATCAACTGCCCATCAAAAGAGTAAAAAGGGAGACATTCCATCATTATTCAGCACCCATGGTTTATTTGTTTAATGAGTATAGGTTTAAACTCTTTAAATGCTGCAATCTCATTATTTTTGCAAACATTAGAACGTATAAAATTATATAATTTAACTTTTAATATATGAAGAATTTGAAGCATTTTATTGGTATCTCTTTTTAAAAATTAGAAGATGAATGTAAAAAAAAAAAGATGTTGATATGATTTAAACTGCGGGACTTTTCAATCCATCATTTAAAAACAAAACAAATCAATCGGGCCCCGCAAAAACCTGAATGTTTTCTGAAGGACTGGCAAATATTTTTCAATGGGCTGTTGGCTGCCACTGTGACTATAACACAGTGCCGGAGGTGTACAGCTGCATCCTGCATAGCTGTTTAACCAGTGGAGGGAAAAACACGTGGGCATTGTGTAGGATATAGTAGAGAATGTGTAGTTTGTGCATCTGCCTCTATGTGTTGTTGGTGTGGATTATAATAGATGCTGCGCTTCACTGGGTGGCCACATGGCAGGGGGAGTGGTTAAAGTCACAGTTAGCGAATCGGGGGGTGTCGAGGGCAGCTCAAACAAGTGGCTGGAGCCTTGATGAAAAATGCTCACATGCAGTCTGGCACCGGTAAACTGCGGGAATGAGCCTCTGATTTTTCTTCCAACTGAATGGTCATACAAGGACTCTGCAGAATCTCAAGGGGATTTAAAGTTGAATGCCATTGGGAAAAGCAACATTTGAAAGAGAAACTTTTTGAGCCTCACAACAAACTCTGAAGAGGAAAATGTTGCACGCCGTCTTGTTCGTTTTCAGTGTCTGTCTCAGCATGGGGAGGGGATATCGGACGAGTTCAGACAGCACTGTGGGCAAGAGACAATATCAGATCCAAAACGGCCCATGCAGCTACACCTTTCTACTGCCTGAGCAGGAGAACTGCCAAAGCCCGAGCAGCCGCTACAATTATCCAGTTCAAAAGGACGGGCCCGCAGACAATGACGAGTCATCTCACAGGCTGGAACAGCTTGAGATGGTCATGGAGAACAACACACAGTGGCTACTTAAGGTAAAGTCATGTCTGCCCAATATGTCACATAATGGCATGAGAAACAGATCTTGGTCAATACACATTGAGTGTCGCACTATAACAGTTAAAGGGACTTTGGTACTTCATAGGACGAAATGAGCATTATGTGAGCCAAACAATTTCAAGTTCGACTACAGAATTT